GATGGCGGAGTGGGGAGCGGAGCCATGGCGAGGCTCAGCCATCCGAATGTAAGCCCGAACGCTGACGTAGGTTGGCGACACCCAAGAGGTCCAACGGGTAGAGGTTGCAGGAGACCTCGATGAGCGACAGCCCAGAGAGGCTATAGCAGCATAGGATGGGACTTAGTAGCATAGAGGGAAACTTAGAGCCTATGCTGCAGCAAGATATTTGAGAATTATTGCAGCATAGCTATTTTGCAGTCATCTCTTCTAATTAGAAGTGAGGCCCCAGCGTAGCCTCACTTCTAATTAGAAGAGATATGTGGGATTAACAGGTGGCAAATACTATGTGTATATCCAAGACACAAGCTCTGATGGTCTTAAGAGCTCTTGGGAGTACGAGCAGAATCTTGAGCAACTAATTGTAAGAAGCTCAATGTCTTCAGTTTGTTATTTAAAAAATATCTGGCTTTATTTTCTAATCTTAAACTTATATATAAACTTAAAAGTGGTGATTCCGTTTATGTTCAAGACTCTTAAGCAGGAGCCCATTACAGCCAGTCATCTACCATTCATTAACCTGATTCTGACTAGAGTCATAGGTGACAACAGAGATCAGTGTTTCTTGTATGAGTTTGGGCTCTAACACTTTCAACAAACAATCATAAAAAGCAGCATCTCTTTAAAACATTCCTAGCTATAATGTTGACTATAAATTATAATACTATATTTGGAGCAAGCCAAGTCAATGTAGCATCTGCTTAACAATAAGGAACTGCAACATTAAGTAGGTCTATTGCTCTAAAGCTATATCAGAGCCATGAAAAAAAAAAAAAAAAAAAAACATTTATTCGACCATAAGAGTGTAAAAAAAAACTCTGCCATTAAAGTCGTGATATCTCGTGAACGCAACATGGGAATGTCTCGGATCCAGGCCCAATCGATAGAGCTCGTCGAGACCTTTCTTTTGATACCCCATACATGCTGACAGCGTGAGAAATAGGGTGTTGCAAAATTTTTTAGCATGCATGACACAAAAAGTATATAATTTTAGAAAATTTTAGACAGTTTCTGGAAGGAAAAAATTCCCTCTTTCCAGCTGTACACTTAGTTTTTCATTCCTACGTACCAATTTTGAGTAATACAAACTGTCAACTTTGATTGTCTGCAACTGTACAACCTACTTTCAGTTTGCTTTTTGGGAGAGTATAAGAAGAGCTGAGCCAAGATATAATAAGCTTAAGCTTGAGTTAGATAGAACATATCTTAGTTAAAAGACCTTGGTTGTATTAGAGAATGATTACCTACTCCCAATTCTCAACTTCCAGATAATGCCTCACCAAGGAAATCCCTGCATCCCTGCACTCCTTAATTTCGATAAAATATCTACCAAGATACTCTGGGTCAAGGTTATTATTTAGTCTTTCAGGGAAGATCTCTAGGGATTTATATAACTGTGTTTGTTTTCAATCACATTTATTAGATCTATATTAAACATTTAAGTTATTAGTTTCTCAAGGAAGCTTATACAGTATGTAGAGACTTTGCAAGACACCAACCTTTTATAGGCAGAGCTCTGTCGCACCTAGCACTCTATTGGCATTATGGTTAAGGCTGTTATCACTAAGCCCTAGCTGTATTCTTCCTTGTACATGCCTTACCTTCAGCCCTTTTACTACTAATTGTCATGCATTAGGGAGCTTGTAAAAAATGCTGCTGCAAATCTATTTATATTGTATCTGAGCTAGGGGAAATAGCAAGGCGGCATTGGTGGCTGATACAGCTGGACACTAAGCGGATTGTGAGTGGATGACTGGAAGTGAGTTTGCTGATAGAATATAACTGTATGCGGTAGATTCCAGTGAACATGTTTATAGACTTGATATTGACGTTGGGCTGGGCCACTAAACATAAGGGCTGACTGCATTTGCTTGAGATCTTAATGAGTAGCCACCACATCGGGCGTCTCAATAAGGCGATGGGCTTTAATGTCGATGTACATTTGGTCGTTCAAATCCTAGTTGTCCTCGAGTTCTTGCTGAATAGCGAAGCAGAGCCAAAACGCAATAGCTACAGTGAGTGCTGTAGATATGATGAGCTGCCCATTCATGCCCGAGATTGATCATTGGTTGCTCCAACGTGGCCTAAAGTCCCAGATCAAAAGTGTCAGTTGGTAGAAGGCTGTAACGCTAGAGCCAACTGGCGTTGGGATTGATCCCTGGCCCATCAGGGAAAAAAAGACAAGTCTTGATAGACTCAGTAGTAGGAGTAGCCAAGTTAGTATCACGGTTCGGGTCGGGCTGCCGGGCCGCACGGGGCCGATCGGGCCCACTCGGGCCCGCACAACCGCCATACTCCTCAACGCTCCCCCATTCTTCCAACCCCTTCCGTTCACCCCTGCGGCCCTACGTAGCGCCCATCCGATCAGCCCTGGGACCTGGTGCCCATCCGATCCATCCCTAATATCATAGCATATAAAAACCGTACTCACAAGATGTAGTCGCTAGGCTAATATCGTCTATTCTCCGGGCTAACACCCATCTCTCGTGCTCCTCAGACCCTCTCGAAGTCGGACCCCCAACGCCCCTGATACGGCCCGAGCCTGACGCTGACAGAATATTAGCCTCCCCCACAAACACAAGATACACGACAAATGTCTACAGAGCACGACAGTACGATGGGCACCCCCGCGAATCAGGGGGACAAGTGTGCCCGATTCATGGCCTTGGGCCATAACGAACAACAGGAGTTCAAGAAACAGAGCAGGCACACACCTTGTAATGGAAGGCTGAGCCTCTTAGAAGGTCTCCGACTAGCATTTTGTTGGCTGCGATGACAGCTCGCAATAAGCCAAAAGCCAAAATGGCTGGCAAACAGATCCCACTTTCTTATGCACCACCAGGATACCACCAAATCCCTTTCAAATGCACAAATCCAGTCTAAGGCTGAACACCTGCACCTTCTATTTAACCATATCCCCGTCTACCATTGGATCAAGTTTACCACACCAGATCTATTCACTCTGGGTGGTCCCTCCGACAGTATTGTTAACTCGGTACATGTTCAGCCAGCATGGATGACCAATATGGGCAAGACAATCCCAGTCCGATTCGACACAGTGTTGGTTAATGATAGTACTAGAGAGCTCACTGGGATAAAAGGTATGTGGGGAATTAGTAGTATCTCATCTTAGTAATGATCATATAGGTTACCGGGTGGCACAAGTTCAGATAGTCTTCAGCATACCTCCTCGACTGGCCGCTACTCTCCTCTCCTCTGGCACAGACACTTTGCCTGCTCACTTGGCCTATGTGGGGTAGTTTTCCCCCTTTTCATCTGCCCCAGAGACATAGCATCACTTCCATCGGGTGAAACAGTCTCTCAAAAATGGGGAAAGAACAGCAATTTTGGTGGACAATATTCATTGCAGTGGTCAAATTACACCATATTCTATACTATTTACCACTCTAACACGGCACTAAAAGTGTCATTGACATACATGTCAATGTTTTGGTAGAGTGGCTGTGTCCGCGGCTGTGGCTGCGGCCATGCGACCCTGCAGCGGCCATTTGACGTGGCCTGCTTGATCGCACAACGATAAGAAGGTCTTGTGCACTCCACTGTGGCACCGGGTGTGGCTGCTCTGCAGCAGCATGCACGCACACGCACGGGCGTTGGAGATCAGGCACTTCTTTCGCAAAGAAGTGTTACGCCACCACGCATCACGCCAGGAGGCAGGGAAGGAGGGGCTGCTGCTTCTTTCCTGATACTGAGGTATATTGAAAATATTAATGACTTATATAAGATATAGTATTAAGTAATATACGGATATGGACACCATGTGGCATGAGAAGACTGTAGTGACTGGAATATATGGAAGATAATGAAAATTGGGATCTTCCAGAGTCATACCTGTACTCTTGGCATCCGTGGGAAACAGATACCTGTATCCGCGGATGGCAAACCCATGGATATTTTCCTGCAGGTACCTGTGCAAACATCTGCGGGTATTAACACTTGTGTAGAGCTTAAGTTCATAAATTAACATTGCTGGTCTCTATCTCCCAGCGTTGTCTCTACTCCGCTCTTCTCTCTTGTCTTGTCTTGGTCAACTGGAAGCCCCGGTCACCCAAACATCCTTCTGTGGTGTTCCGCCCCCAAGTGCTTTCCAACTTCCATTCCGTTTCCGTTTCCGACTTCGACTCCGGTCCTTTGGTCGACACGGCACTTAACACATATATGCTCTAGTCAATATCATACTGGGGTTTCAGTTGAAAAATGGTCCCTTAAGCAGGATTTATACATAAGAAATAATAGTCCAAAACAATGGCTTTTGCTGCTGCTTAGATTGATATGCAATAAAAGCCGCAAAAATTGTATCTGATTTACAAGAAAACAAGTTCAATATCATGGTATCAAATATCACATACATCATGAGTACCCCATTCCGGACCATGTTTTGTGAACAACAAGTGCACATTATTCAAGCCCAATAATTCTACTTCAGGGCGTGTTTTTTGGCGGAAACCCCGGTGTGTAGTGGGCCCCAAGTCCCGGCAATAAAGCACGACAGCGGTTTTGTGGGTGATTTACTGCAGGGGCCGTCCGAGGGAGGAGGTGGGATTGACGGGTGGCCCGGGATGGGGCGGTGCTGTGGCCGGGGCACCGGGGCGTGCGGCGCCGGCGCGGCGACATACGTGTGCCCGGAGACGCCTCGGCCGACGCGCCGGACGCCCGAGCGCCGGAGGTGACGTACGCGCTCCACCGTGGCGCCGGGTGTGGCTGCTCCGCGGCAGCACGCACGCACGCGCGCGCGGGCGTCGGAGATCAGGCACTTCTTCGCGAAGCCGCAGAAGCAGGGTTAGGCGAGCAGGGGCCACGCACGCCACCACGCATCACGCCAGGGCTGCTGCTGCTTCTTTTCTCCCGCCATCGCCTCCTTGGCGACGCTCGACGGACGACGGACGACGGACGACGCGCGCGCTTTTCCTGCCCTGCCCACAAAGAGGAGAAGAGAGGAGATGCGGGCGTATAAGCGAGAGGACGACGACGACGACGGGTTGGAGGAGGGAGGGGTCGAGGTCGAGGTGGACGGCGAAGTGGAGGAAGAAGGAGGAGGGGAGGACGCGGAGGGCGAGCCCGACCCCGACCCCGAGGTGGACGAGCTCGACGACGACGCCCCGCCGTCCGCCGCCGCCGCCGCCGCGTTCCCCGCGCGCCCGCGCCACCCGTCGCTCGCCAAGCGCAGCGCGGGCCCGCCCGCGCCCAGCTCCAGCGCCGGTGGGCCAGGCAGCGGGACAGGGACAGGGCCGGGCCTCAGGGCGAGCGGCGGCGTGACGAAGCGCTACCGCGCGGAGGCGAAGACGTTCCAGTGCCGTGGATACGGCGAGTGCAGGATGGTGTTCAGCAGGAGCGAGCATCTGGCAAGGCATATACGGTGTGTGCTCTTTTCTCGCTCTTTTTTCCCTCTGTCCTCCCTTTTTTTCTTCCATCCTTTTCCATCTGCGGGAGGGGAAGGGACGGGCGGGACGAGCGGGCGGAGACGGCCTCCCGCGCTGCGCTGTTCGCTTGCTGCGTGCCCCCCGCCTGCCTCGCGCCGCCCCCTCCTCGCTTGCGCGCTTCTGGGCTGACGGCCCGTCGTGATACATGCATTCCATTCCCCCTGCCGACACCCCTTCCGCGCGGCGTCACCCTTACGGCCGCAATCTTTCCTTTCCGGGCCCGGCGTCGCGTCCTTCCTTCCCTATTCGCTCCCCTCCCCTTACGTTCCCTCCTTCGCGCTGCCTGCCCCAGCCGCCGCTGACGCTGACGCCCCGCAGGAAGCACACCGGCGAGCGCCCGTTCGCGTGCCACTGCGGGAAGCAGTTCTCGCGCCTCGACAACCTGCGCCAGCACGCGCAGAGCGTGCACGCGGACGCGCCCGCGCGCAACGCCGCGATGATGAAGGCGCTCCAGGGCGTGCACGCAAAGATCGGCGCCGCGCCGGCCGACGAGGGCAGGGGGAAGAAGGAAAAGGAGCGGGAGCGGGAGGAGAGGAGGCCGGGCACGACGGCGGGGTACGAGGGCGCCCCCGAGCCGGAGTCGGCGCCAGAGCCAGCGCCGATGGAGGTTGACGACGACGACGAGGACGAGGTGCGCTCCTCCCCTCCCCCCTTCCCTCTTACCCCCTGCTAACGCACGCCAGAGCACCCCGCGCCCGCGGCACCGCCTGCGCCCGTCGCCCGGCGCGTCCGCGCGCGCGCACCCGTACCAGCGCCCGCCCGGGCAGGAGCGCGAGCGCGAGGGCCGCCCGGCGACGAGCGCGGGGTACGAGGCGGGCTACAGGTACGACGAGCGCCGCCCCGCGACGAGCCACGGGCCCGCGCACCGCCGCCCGGCCACGCGGCGGTCCCCGCTGGCCGACGCGCACCGCGGCTCTGCGGCGGGCCCGCCGTTCGCGGGCGGCGTGCGCCCGGTCACGGCGCACGCGGAGGCGCTGTCCTCGCCGTTCGGGTTCGCGCCGCCGGACGCACACGCGCATCGACCGGCGACGGCGGGCCGGCCCGGACTGGGTCTCGGACTCGGCTTTGGGCTGGGGCTTGCGCGGCCGACGACAGGAGGAGGAGGAGGGACGACCCTCCCGCCGCTCGCGAGCGTGGTGTCGTCGGCGGCGCTGGGCCACAGCCCGGTGTTCCGCCACCAGCAGCAGCAGCAGCAGGTGGGGATGGCGTACCGCGCGCCGCCGCGCAGCCCGACGTCGCCCGTTTCTGCGCACGGGCATGGCTATAGCCGGGGGTACCCGCCCGCGCGGCGGCCCGTGACGCACGACCGCGAGTGGGAATGGGAGGAGTACGCGCGGCGCCGGGGGAGCACCGGGCACGGGATCGCGCTGCTCTCCTCTGGGGGACTCGGGCTGCGGATGGGGCTGCGCCCGGGGACGGCGCCGGGCGCGTGGAGCGGCGGCGCGCCCGTTCCCGTGCCCGGCGCGGAGGACGACGAAGAGCATCCCGACGACTCGCCGTTCTCGTTCAGCGTCCCGGACGCGCCCGGGCCGTCCGCTATCTCCGTGTCGGGGGGCAGCCGCCCGGGGTCCGCGCGCTATAACTCCGGCTCGGCGTATGGGTACGGCTACGCCCCGCCGGACGCCTCGCGGAAGCGCGCCTTCGGGTCGCGCGACGGGCCCGGGCCCGGGCCGCACGAGCACGCGGAGCGCGAGCGGCCGACGAGCAGGAGGCTGAGCGTGATGGACCTCGTCAACGACGACCCGCCGCCTCCCCCCCGCCACGGCCATAGCCATAGCCATAGCCAAAGCGGAAACGACCAGCAGCAGCGCCCGACGACGACGAGCGGGCTCGTGCTGCGGGCCAGCGCGCTCGTGCTCGACGACGGCGACGGCGGCCCCGCCGGCGATGCGGATGGGGCGGAGGAGGAGGACGAGGGGACGCCCGTCGCGCGGATGCGCTCCCCGCGGGGCACGGGCGCCGGCGGGGGCTTCGCGGGTATAGGTGGTACAGGCCCGCTGAGCCCGCTGCAGCTCCCGCTCGGGGTGCCGCTCCGGCGCGGGTGAGGGGGGTGGTGTCTTGGTATTCTTTTATTTTTTGCTGCATCTTAAAGCTTAAAGCTTAACGCTTGCCGTCCCGTGGTATATTACATTACGCGCCCTTTATCTTAGCTCTCTGTCTGTCTGTACTCTCTCTCTCTCTCCGATGTCCCGTTTAGATACATACGTAGCTGTACACCCTGTTAATCCCTCCCTACTTACTCGTGTTCTTTCCCTCCTGTTTTTTGCTTGCTCGCTTGCTACCCGTAGTCGTCCTGTAATCCCGGATGTTTGCCTTTACTTACCTATAAGCTGTGTAATACAATAAGTATCAGTTCTGTTGCCACGCTGCAGCGGCCGCTCGGGGTGCCGGGTTGGGTGTCACAATGTCGGGCGCGGGCGCGGGAAAATCGATCACTGCGGCGATCGCTACGACTCACACCCTTCACTTCTCGCTTGGCGACGACGGGCCCTGCTCGCCGCCAAGGGTAATTTCATTTCATGCTTGCTATTGGTAATTTCATGGGACTAGGCGCTGGGATCGCGCAGTTTCTGCGGTCAAGAACCAGATCCCATCCAAGAGTCCCCAAGTTGCTCTTTTCATTCAAGTTCAGACGCAGACGAAGACATCGAAGGAGAAGGGTACCGCAGATCCTCAGCTGGTGACATCAAGTCACACATGTAGGGTGGGTCACTGGGGTGAAATTTCACTTTTTGGACTTGTGTCTGCGGAAGGTTCAGGGACATCCAGGAGAACCTGTCAGGGGAACCCCCGCTTTGGCCTCCTTCGGACCGTCCGAGCGCATCTGAGGCGCATCCGACCGGCGCCACCTCGGACGCTCCGACCCACCCCGACCAAGACAAGATTGCGGACTTCTATCGGAGGTACCCGGGTAAACCACGGCACATTGCCTCAGCAACCTTCGACTCCTTGCCCTTTCGAACTATGCGTCGGGACGCCGCATTCAAAGGGGGGGGTGATGTCAGGGGAACCCCCGCTTCGGCCTCCTTCGGACCCTCCGAACGCATCCAAGGCACATCCAACCAGCGCCCCCCTCGGACGCTCCGATCCACCCCGACCATCGTCCACGGCCTCTTTTGCCCGCACAATCACCGATCCGTCAAGACCCTCCCAACAATCACCTTGGGACAGAGCCTGCGACACCGCTCAGGCCTTCTGCACTCTACGTCAGCAGTTACGGACGACCAGTATATCGTTGGCACCCTAGCAGGCGGACCCTTAGAGTTTGTTCTCTTTGGATCCTCCCCTGCTAGGTCGGTCCCTCCGTGTATTTCTGTAGCTTTTATTCACGCTTTGGATCCTCCCCTGCTAGGCTTTTGTCAGAGTCTCCAGGGTTGCCCTTACAGAACCAGAAATACACAGTTATATGTTTTTAGCACTTGTTGCTAAAGAATATGGAATGTTTGATGGGCCTACCCGATGTCTAGGATTTTTTTTGCGCGCGATTGGGAAATCACCTGTGCAGCCCAGTACCCGCTGTAAATTGTCGGGTCCACCCCGGCGGGTTGGACCAGACAATTCACGGCCGCTTTTTTCACCACCATAGAAATGAATAATTATTGAATAAAGGAACGAATAATTCTGAACATTTTCAGCTTTCCTAAGAGCTTTGGTGCCTTCAAGGCAAGCCTATCACTCCTTATCACTCCCACTGTAGTATGAATAAAAATGAAAAATTTTGGCAAGTATATACAACAGTCTTCGAGGCTAGTTTACTAAATCATTGCTCAAATTCCCACGCTCCCTCTGGTCAAGGCCTATAACCGAAATTCTATATGCCAAGCTCGCCACCTGTTCCTGATCATCGTCTCCATCCATCTCGGCAGCATCTATATCATCCACACAATCAGATTCAACCAATTCTTCAAGCCCATCTACATCCATCTCTAACCCCATCTCACTTCCAACGGCATTCCCTGGCCTCAGAGTTCCAGTAAAACGGCTACCATACTTCCGTGCTAGTTGTCGGAATTTAGCCAAATGTCCCGCATCATAAATGCTCCGTCGTTCACGGTACATTCGGACTTGGACAGCCAAGGCAACGTTTCCCATTTCTCGAAGGCGTTTTTCATGTTGTCGTAGTAGTCGATTCTCATCCCTGATCCATGTAATAAGCCGACGAATCTCGATATCAAGTCGCTTGATTTCTTCATGGGCCCGCTCCATTTTGAAGTATCGGTCCATGAGTAAACGAAAGGATGCTGTCGCCCACTTTTCCCCCGCCAGAGAGTTCTGGTCATCACGCAGGAGATCGAAGACGGAGAGGAATGCATAGTCGACAACTTCGTCCCATGAGAGGATTGGTCGTGGGGGAGAGATGAGTTCGGCCGTGGCGATTGTATCGGTCGATCGAGTTCTTGACAGCAGGAGAACGAGTTTGAAGAGACTTGGCAATGTGTTTCCGTTGCTTATAGCCTGTATAGATTGAGCTGGTTGCAATTGTGGGAGGGATGAAGACGCACATGTATCGGACTGATTCATCTTCGTCAATTCAAGTAAGCGTTGCACAACAAGGAGCTCGAGGGCATCAATCGCCTTTCGGTATTCAAACCTTTGGGCTTCATCGACTGCTTGGGTCCACTCTGGCGATGTTGGCGTCCACTGAACTTGAATGTCCAGTTCCACCTCCAATGCTTCTACAGCCTCCGTTTCTCGGTCCACGCGTTCTCGAGCATGGCGGATTTTGATATCGACACCGGAACTATCAGGGCGATATGGCGCATCGGGACCATTGGCCACAGCCCTTTGTCTCAACAGCCCAGTGAGGTTTGCTCTATAACTGCGTCAGAGTATGTCGTCAACAGAGTTGGATGCTACGAACTTGCTTTCTCCAAGCTTCTGCAGCTTTCGGAGATACTCCATGGAACCAGTCTCTTCCTTTGATTTTGCACCCGCTCGAAGGGTCGCCAGGTATTCGCGCTCGCGGATGAGAGCTTGCGCGAACTCTCCCACGTCATCGATTTTCTCCAGCGCCATTGCGTCTTCCAAGTCAGATTTCCCATCCAAAATATCCAGCGCCTGGATGTAGTTCTTACACAAGAAAGTACCTGACACGAATGAGTTGCTGGAATATAACAGCCGTCGCCACTTACCAAGATTCGCATATGTTTCTGCACTGTCAACGTAATGAAAATAGGAAGAAATCTCTTGCTTCCAATGAAACGGCGTTGCATAGCGACACGCATTCGCAAGAGCATTGGACCTGGAGAAAGCTCGTTCACAGCCCTCGAAGTCCTCGAGCCCGGTACCTTCCACGTATGTCGGAAGATGGGATAGCTAACAGGAGCGGTTATGGGCGTGGCCATGGAAAAGGCCTACGACACACTTGAGGCCACATTCTTCCGCTTGAGCCCCCAGTTGACTTTGAGCGATCGTGGTTTCGATACTGCAGCCTATGTCGTAGGCCAGTAGATTCTTCTTCCCGAGATACTCCAAGATCGCCTTGATCACTGCTAGCGGGTACTTGGATCTATATTAACTAAGTAAGTCTTTTTTCTTTCCGAGTCTTGTGGTAAAGCGACCCACAGCTCGCCACTTTTTATCATCTCTACGATGACTTGTGCAAATCCATGTCGGCATAAGCAAAGAAATATCCCAGTCTGGTCGAAAACTGCCCACATCTTGGATGTCAGATGCTCGGACATGTTGTGCCAACGGTCTTCGCAGGGATTCTGCTGCAACACCTCTGCTGGGACGGCCTCTGCAAGTTGCCGCTTCGCCCAAACTTCAACTTCTGCCCGCGACAAGAAATATGTCCCACCACCTTCCCTGTCGTCGTCGTGCGGCCTGGCGGAACGACTCCCATCAACTCGCTTCAAAGAGTTGTTGCCGTCAATGGTGAGCAACCTGTCATATAGAAGCGGCTCCTCCCCTTCGAGTTTGTACCCGCACGCCGGACAGTCGTTCTGCATTCGCCATTTCAGACTATCGCGCCCAAGAAGGTTGAGCACCGATTTCTCGGCATGACGGCGGAGGTCGAGATACAAATCGTATGCGATAGAAAATTGAGCTCGAAGGTAAGGTCGATATGGCGTGTTTTGTAGGTCGCACAGCGTTTTTACGAATGCTTGTATCACCATTCGGGGGCATCGTGCATGAGCCACTCGGTAAAGCTCGAGAGTTTCGATGGTAATGACGACAGAGGGGGTAAAGGGCGAGCATGGGATAAAGCCACGGGCGACAAGTGAGGTGCAAACGGTGTCTCTCTTGTTGAGCACGACTTGTACAGTCTTCTGAGCTTAATTAACATCAGCTTAACATTTTGAGCAGAGAGGGAGAGCCTCACTGAACAGACTTATGACGGTTATGCGCCGACTGAGGCCCTCTTCAGCCTCCAAGTCCGACCAGCGAGTATCCTCCTTCAGGTCGTCTTGAACTGCACTCCAGCTCATGTACGCGGCCAGCATAGCCTCCATTTGCTGCTGAAAGCCATTGACTAATCTTTGGGTTCGGTCTTGACGAGTTCTCCAGTCAAGCGGCGCAAAGCTATGTGAGCTGTCAGAAGAGGGAAAGAGCGCAGTAAATAATATTTACCCGCCATATATATCCAAGGCAATGTCATGTTCAAGGGTGGCGAAGAGCTCTCCACCTGCATGGCTGACATCCACTGGTTCATCTCCACCCAGGATGTCGTTCACATCCACCCAGTTTTGCTCTGGTTCGTCATCCTGCTCGCTGTCTGGATGCTGAATTGATATCGAGGTTTGAATGCGCTCCCTCTCTTGACGAGTCATGGCTGGAATTGTGAGCACTGGTAGGTACACATGAGCAAAGAGGACTTACTCAGCAAACACTTTTTGTGGGCTTGTCGGGTGGCTGTAGAATGCGCCATCTGCCCAACAGGGCCAAGAGTGATGGACTGGACGTTGTTGAGGCCGCTCGTGGACGCAGTGACAATGCGAACCCGCTTGCGTTTCATGACCATAGGCGTTCGGAAGGCAAGCCTTGAGAAGGTGGTCACATGCTCATCATGTGACCCGGCATCTTTTGTTTACTCCACCCACAC